ACTGAGACGTGAACATCACATGTACTGTGCGGACTTCTCTTTGTGCAGCACTTTTCGTCTTTTGCGAATTGATAAGGACACAAAGCCTTATCGAGCTTTTGATTTGATTTTATTTAACAGCAATGAAAAAAATGACTTTAAAGGACCTTTTGTTATTATAAAAAGAAAATATATTTTCAGGCCGCCACAGACTAGGCTATTTAATGAATGGGAAAATGTATTTGTGGCGAGCCAACACAAATAAATTGTATGGGAAACCCTGCATACTGCATACTTAGGCTACCTTGTACATATTACCAAATGCATTACTACTCACCTTTTTGGTCAAAGTTTAAAGTCTGACACGATTCTCCACTTAATGTCCAGTTACACATGAAGACAGAGCCACCATGCGAGATCGCAGGCTGGCTGGTGTTTGCTCTGGGTGCTCCAACCACCACACTTACACTGAAGGGTGGACACCAGAGCATACATAGTCAGAAATTTTCACAGAAAACCTTCATCATTTTTTACATTAAAAAGCATAATTTAATATGATTTGTAAGCCGTTTTCCTCATGGGGACAAAAAAATGTCCCTACAAGGTCAACAATGTCTGGTTTTGCCATCCTTATGTAGGGAATCTATAAGGGAATACCTAAGAGAGACAGTTTGGAACTTTTTATTAAGCAGCAATTCATTCAATTAATCAAAAGTGACAGTAAAGAAGTCATTATATCGTAACGCAGTCATTATAACGTAACGCATGATTTCTATTTCAAATAAATTATATTCATCAAAAAATAATTCATCAAAAAATGTATCAAAGTTTCCACTAAAATATTAAGCCACACAACTGTTTTTTAACACTGATATGATCATATTTAATTATCAACAAACCAGAATATTATAATGATTTCTGAATAAATGGCTGCTTATAAGAGACTTGTTTCAAAAACATAAAATCTTACAGACCACAAACTTTTGAACGGCACTGAATAATTGTAGCATTACTAGAATCATATCTGGGTTTACAGATTCTGGAGCAGTTAACCAGCTAATCCATTATCAGAAAGTTTGCTGTGGAGGTCAGCACCACTCACCTTTTGCTGCTTGACCGATAAAAGTCAACTGAGAAACCAAAGTAGCTGTCCTCAGGGCCAGAGAAGACTGTGTAATTGTTCAGATCCAGGTTAAAGCCACTGATGTGATTTGGATAAATTAGCATGGACAAATACACAGTAAAAAACACCAAACTGCCTTTCAGCCTTTTCTCCATCTTCTCTGAGATTTCTGAAGTTGTCCAAACTCGTTCGACACAATTCACTCTGCCACTAGGAAGAAGTTAATGTTGTTCTGTCCCTTTGGGAGAATCTGCCACAACTCGTTACAACTCTGTGGTTATTCTAGTCAATATGACACTTGTGGGTGCCTGTTTCTCATGTGCTTCCTTCAGATAAGATGAGGTACATGTCATGGGTTTCCTGAATGCTCAGTACGTGTCTTATGGCATTTATAATTAAAAATGTGCCATTTTAAATTAATTTTCAAACATTTTCTGTTTTGAGATTGCAGTATGAGCACCCAGCCTTTCAATGAATCCACATTATAGAGAAAGTGAACAAGCTAATGTACCAAAATGTAATTTGACAACAGCTTAAAACAGTCAAAAAGAAGGAACATTTTCAAAAGTGATAGCAGATAAGTGACAAAATTGTGTAAGCAGAGGCCATGCTCGGGAAGTCTCACCCTAAGAGACAACACACTTGTAATCATTAAAAAAAAAAACAAAAAAAAAACGTTATTACATTTTTCAGTGTCTTTTAAGATCTGTTGCAGATTTGGGTTTGAGTGCAGCCTGGGGCAATTCATTAGTTCTTTAAATGTGAAATATTTACTTGCTGTTCAATATACCTTCCAATAAATGGTTGTTGTTTATTAGTCTACGTCTGGTGGATGAATGTCTTACTTACTCTCTTTATTGTGTCCTTCCCATATACAGGTCAGATTAAGTACTGTATGTTTGGGTATGTTTAAATATGACTTTGTTTCTGTGCTTTTCCCAGTACATGTCGAAGGTGTTTTTTTTTTTTTTCTGTTTCTGTTTTGTGAAGTTTGTTGTTTTTTTATTTACTACATTAGTTTTATTTAACCAAACAAGATGTATGAATATATTGTTTAAATTAACATTAACCATCCACATTACAATTACATTTAGTATTAAAAAAGGGATGCATGAAAAAAAGGATGCATGCATTAAATATTTAGCCTAATGTTTGTTTGATGTCGTTCAATTCTGAGACAATCTGTCCACTTCAGCCTAATAACAGACACAAAATAACAGGCTAAATATTTACTAGCTCAGAAGGATTTTCATCTTATTTTCTGACATTGGCTACATTCTGTATTGCTCTGAATTAATAATAAAAAAAATAAAAAAAAAAATAATTTCACAAAGATAATAAACCTATAAGAGGCAAACATATTGAGATAAGAAACAGTCAAGTGCAAGGGAATGACATTTGCACCAAGAAGCTGTCAGGGTTATGTTATCATTCCATTCTTTATTGGGAGTTGGTAATAAAAATATCCTAATTTAAATTAAGTGCAAAAAGCTTTTACAGAAATTTTCCTCAAATGTTTTACAGAAAAACACTGTTTTTTTAAAGCTATTATCTGAAGTATTACGATCAAACACCTTAAATGTAAAAAAAAAAAAAAAACCAAAAAAACACCCATTAAAAACAGTCTATAACTGTCAGGAATGGCTGCTATACAAAAAACATAAAATGAATGTAAAATATCCTGAGTCCTCGGGTCTTTACATTGGCTGCCAGTTACATTTCAGATTAATTTTAAAGTATTATTACTGGTATGTAAATTTCAATGGGCTAGGACCTCAATATATTGCAGATATGCTCACTGAATTTAAAACTAACTAACAGATCATTTAAATCATTAGGATCACATCAGTTAGAAATAACAAGGTTTCACTCTAAGCATGGAGAGTCTGCTTTTAGCTATTATGCCAGCCGCAGCTGGAACCAGCTTCCAGAGGAGAAAAGATGTGCTCCTATAATAGTCACATTCAAATCCAGACTCAAAACTCATCTGTTTAGCTATGCCACTGTTTGTCTGACTGTTTTTACTGTACTGTATTTTTTTAAACTGTTTTTCTAAACTGTTTTAATTATTCTTATTTGTTTTGATTATTGTAATTTCTTATATGTAAAGCACTTTGAATTACCATTGTGTATGAAATGTGCTATAAATAAACTTGCCTTGCCTTGACTACACATCACTGCATCAACAACTACACAGTTACTGTCTGTTAAATGAAGCAACACACAGCATTTTATTAGTGTTTCTCTGCTCAACTTGGACTGCAAAAGAACATTCAACACAAACAGATCTCTCAAGATTTCTGCATCCTCACTTATTACAATCCAGACTTTATTTCGTTCATACTAACATTCTTATTGAGAATAAACAGAGGTTTAGAAGTTGATGTTTTATTGAAAATAATAAAGTTTGATGTCACCATGATGGAAGTCAGTGTTTGCTTTGGTTGGTCTCTTGAGCCTTTAGTTTTAACATTACTTTTTCTCTGACTGCTTTAACTGTCTCTGATACATATTTGTTATGGTAGAAATCCAAGAGAAACTCAGATCAGATGAAATTGGTCACTTTATATCATCATAGTTGCCTGCTTTATTGATACCACCTGAAATGTAATAAATGAGTAAGTTATTAAATATTAGTTAATTTTGCATGCCAATGCTGTTATAGAGGATTATGCAGTGCTGTGACAATCATATTTTATGAAGTCATTATACAGAATTCTTTTGACAGGATCACACAGACTTCAAGAATCAGCTAGAATCAACTCTGAACCACTAATAGTCACAAAAAGACTTTGTTGATGGTCACCATGGTTGAGATTCATATTTTGATTCTTGATGTCTCTATACTCCTTAAGAAATAAACCAGCTCATTACATTTTCTTTATAATAAATATTTTTAAAATTCCAATTTGTTATAATATTGATCCACAATAATTCAAGGGTCATATGAAACACTATGACATTAATCATAATTATAAAACTAAAATCCATCAATACATAATGTAACCTCAGCTAATACATTCAGTGACTTGACTACTATATCAGTGAATCAGTTCACCATATGATGACTATAACATCATGAATAAATGAACAACATCATCCGATGTTATCTTCTGAATTTATTGCCATAACAAATGTAAATCAAAACACTATAAAAGCAACAAGATATAAACTAAGGTTAAAAACTCAGGGGTCATGAGCCCAACTAAATCAAATACTGATCTCAACAATGGTGACATCAAATTTCTGTTAACATTTTTTGCACTTTATTTGAATTAGCATATTTTACTTTAATTTTATGGTTTTTGTTTGGCAGCCATAGCTGCCAGTCATTTGACCCTTTTTAATATATATATATATATATATATATATATATATGATTTTTCTACAATGAAGGCATTTGATCATAATAATGCAGGAAATACCCATGAAATAACATTTTTTGTTTATTTAAATTAGAATATTTTAATTGAATTTTTTTTTAAAATTTAAGGTATATGATCATGATAATTCAGGTAATACCAGTAAAATAACAGTGTTTTTTCAGTTTATTTAATTTAGGATGTTTAACTTTAATGTTACAGTTTTTTGGGAGCTGCCAGTCAATTGACCAGTTTATCTTGAAAATAATACATTTTACAAAAATACAAAACATTTTCTGTATAGAAAATGTAAATTACTGGAATGTGTATTTGATGTCAAAATACCTAAAATAACAGCCAAATTTTTATTTTAATTATTTGTAATTTTACAGTCTTTTGAGTACAATTTTAAATGAAAGAAAATAATTGTCAAAGAAATCACAGTTGTTTTCTGTAAAATTTTGATTTTTTTTACAGTGTGAGATACAAGGTTTATTTGAATGACTATGATTTTTATTAGATAATTCTGTTTTAGATTCATGACAATTCCATATTGTTCCCTTCTATATTGTTTTCAGGACCTCTGGGCTGCTTTGAAAGATCTCTCCAGAGCACCTCCATACATTCTGTCACCCAGTCGCCAAGGCAGCTCCAACGAGGATGGAGCACCAGATCATGCAATAACCAGGCAAGGAGAGAACCAGTACAAGGCCCCAGCCAATACACCTGCAAAGGTGAGGTGAGACATGAGAATGTTCTCAGTAACTTCAGTTTGTTCATACAAAAGAAATACTTTTTCACTGACCTGTAAAATTATTTAGTTCATATTTTTATATGGCTATCTATGATCTGTTTTTCATCACACAAGATTTGTTTACTCACCCAATGATTGTGGAAGTTCATTGTCAGCACAGCTGGACCAAATGACCTTGCAGGATTCATTCCACAACCCGTGAAGCCGATCTGCAGATCAAAATACACAGGACAACTATGGGTTCTATTTGGCAAGAATTTCTTGCCAAATCTCTCTCTATTTATTTTGGGGCAAACAAGCAGTTTATTTGTATTTCAGAAAAAATACTAATTAAATAATGCAGCCAAGTATGTTCAGCTGTTCATCGACTTGAATTACATGCGTTGCCATTTCACACAAAGAGTCCTTTAATACAAGTAAATTCAACAAGGAAAATGTAGGAGAATCACAGGAAACGATGTTCAGGAAACAACCAAGTTTTCATAAATGAGACCGAATCAAAAACAGAAAGAACACTTAAATGAGGCTTAAATACACAGGGAGGATAATCAACTGAAACAAGTATGTGGAACTAATTAACAACCAAGGAAACTAACATGCAGGCAGGCAAAACAGGGACAGAACATTTTACATTTATTCATTTAGCTGACGATTTTTATCCAAAGCGACTTACACTACTTGCTATATATGTCAGAGGTCGCATGCCTCTGGAGCAACTAGGGGTTAAGTGTCTTGCTCAGGGACACATTGGTGTCTCACAGTGGATTCGAACTCAGGTCTCTCACACGAAAGGCATGTGCCTTATCCACTGTGCCATCACCATCCCCACCCCAGAACACAGTAAAAACAAAAACAAAACTGAACATATATAGTACAAACTAAATATACACTAAATTTAAATTATATTTTCATAAAAAAAAAAAAACAGAGACTTATGACTTTATGATCATGAAATTACTACTCTTTACTCTTGTGCACCAGTGAGCCTTCAGTTCACTTGGAAGTTTGTATCATGATGAATACGTTTTATTCAAAACTTTAAGTCGTATTCTCATCTGCCATCCTTACCGCCATGAGGTGACCAAGGATGACCGACAGGCCAATGACTGCGGGGGCCACAGAGGAAAAGCCTGATTTGGGATGAGTGGCAGCCTGGACACACAGCACTAGCTGGAATGTAACAGCCATCTCCACTAACACAGCCTGATACAGATATACCCCCGGGGCCACCTGAAAGAGTGTAAGTGGTGTTTTATCTGTTATTGTTGGACACTACAGTATATGTCTTTTCAGACTGACTCTATCTCCTTTCCTCATTCACTTCAATTACTTGACAAAATATAAACTCTCGCTCTGTACCCCCATCCATACCCATCCTGCTTTTTCTCACTTTTTCTGATACACACAGACCACTTTCCCTTGCTCATTCTTATTTTGATAATTTCTTGCCATTTCCTTCTCCTCAGTGATTACCTGACCTATCTTTCTATTATGATGCATCTTATGTTTACTATTACAAACTTTTTGATAGATCTGTATTGTAACAAAAATAACACACAAAAAAGAGCAATACAGAAGAAAATGTTTCACTGTAATTTCATGCTGAAAAGGAACAATACAGAATAGAGGGTGTCTTACATTTCTACCCTATACTATCAAATTTCTACATTATGTATTTTTTCATTGACAACCATCAAAGGTTAATCAAAATTGAAAGCAGTATTAGCTCATTAAAGAATTAAAAGTATAACACTTTGCACTTCACAATAAAATTAAGAATAATTTGCAAGAAATCATTAAATTAGATTGTGGAATAAATGAGAATGGCTTAATAGCTTGGCAATTATCCAGAGTTAACATTATAATGGTGAATAAAAGCCCTAATTTTATCCAGCAAGCGCATTAACTATAGACACAGAAATGTTTTAGATAATTCTAAATTGGTTTCTTCAAGATTTTCACAGGTCTCCATTGAAACCAAATGGCAATTCTTTAAGCTACATTTAATTTAGCTTCTGACAAAGTTGAACACAGAGATGAGAAGATCGAGATTATAGTAATCAGAGGATCTGAAACACAGATATAAGATGATCCACAGAACAAAGACATTAGAAGATACAGAAAGCAGATGATCCACAACAAAGACATCAGAAAAATAAAGAAATAAAGGCTTAGTTAGAAAAGTGGCGTAGTCTTCCCCTTATTTTAGCTGGAAGAATAAATTCAGCGAAAATGACAATTCATCCCAAGTTCCTTTATTTGTTTCAATCCCTACCGACTTTTTTGCCCAAATCCCTTTTCCATTTAATTAATCAAACTATATCCTCTTTCATTCGGGAAAATAAGATCCCCAGAGTTAACACACATATTCTTCAGGGGACCCGTGATGCGGGTGGTTTAGGCCTCCCAAGTTTCACTCATTATTACTGGCATCAAATATTCAGAAAGTATTATTTTGGCTTCATTGCCCAGAAACAAATTGGTGTTTAATTGAAGCACAAACATGTCACGCTTCCTCTCTCCCTGCTTTAGTGTAGTCTGTCACTATAAATTTACATCAGCATCAGTTTTGGGTCCTATTTACAAAAATCATCTATTCCCTCCCTCTACAACAGACTCATCAATTAGACAGTGGGTAACTTCTGGTATAATATCCAACAAAGATTTATATACTGAGGGTTAATTTACCAGTTTCGAGAACTTTCCCTGATTTTCCCCCTACCTCGCCTTCAGAGACTCTTACTCTCAATTTTAATAATAAAGGATTGATTTCCATATTATATTCCCAACTCATGTCCTTGAAAGGGTACAATCTGGATAATATTAAATCCAAATGGGAAAGTGAACTGAACATGTCATCTGAGGCTTTTTGGAGGGAGGCATGTAAAAGGGTTCACTCATCATCATCCTGTCTTAGGTTAGGGCTCATACAATTTAAAGTGCTTCACAGGGTTCACTTGAGCAAGGAATGGTTAGTGAGAATATAGATGCAACCTGTGATAGATCCTCTTTCTCTCGAGCCAGTCTGACACATACATTCTGGTCTTGCTCCTCTCTAAATAGTTACTGGGAATTGGTTTTTTAAAATTATCAGTGAGGCTCTTGGGGTGACATTGCGGCCTTGTTCCTCAATTGCTATTTTTGGTTCTCCCAGTGACACTATAACAATTACCTTAACTTCAACCCAGAGGGACATCATTGCATGAACTTCTTTACTGGCCTGCAGAGGAATCTTGTTAAGTTGGAAATCCCCTACCCCTCCATCTGCAACAGTTTGCCTAGAAGATGTGATATTCTTTTTGAAGTAAGAAAAGATAAAATTTACAATAAAGGGACCCGTGGACAGATTTTATTTGAAATGGGAACCTATTTTGTCATATTTTAAAAATTTGGAAAAATTACCCAGCTAACCTATTTTCCATGTATCTCTTTTTTTTTTGCTTCTTGTTGTGTCGTTGTATTTGCTGCTTTGACCTCAGTGTAGTCTGTCTCACAAAAATTGGCAAAATTACTATTATCATTGTTTCTTCTCTCTCTTTTGTGTATGCATTTACACTGTATTCACGAGTTCACACTCACTAATGATCAGAGAATAAAAATAGTTATGCGTATTTGGCGTGCTGTCCGGGGGGAGGGCTCCGAGCTCGGAAATTGGGCCCGAACCCAGAGTACTCCCCCCGTATCTCTGTTTAGGAAGATAATTAGGCAAGTGTGAGGAGATGGGGTGGTGGAGGGATGCTGAGAACAGTCGAGGAATAAGGGTGAGTCAACTGTGTGTTTTTATAGGCTTTACTTGTGCTGATTGAGTGAACCAGTTGATTACTGATTGCTGACAGCTGGCTGACTCGATTGTTTGATCATTAGAACGTGATCCTCCCGAAACTTGTTAATAAAACATCGAATAGTGATACTTTTATCATCACTACTTTTGTTTTGGTTGCATGGGTACATGCCTTGAAAAGGTGCAGTGGCATAATGGTTATATTTTGAGTTTGAAATAAAGAAATCAAACAATCCAAAATCCAGATATAAGTACAGAGCACAGATATCAGAAGTTACAGAAATCAGACCATCCAGAACAAAGACACCAGAAGACAGAGAAACCAGAAAATCCTATAGCCTATAAGACAAACCTGTAGAATCAGTAACCTCTTACCTCAGTAACACCCATGTTGCTCCTTAGGGCAATTGGTGTAATGCCTAACAGCAAAGCACAGGCACTGAGGGCACCAAGCAACTGGGCTCCCACCAAAAGGACAGCCCGCCAGGGACTCACCCTTAAGCCTGCGACCAATGCCAGGGTAACCACTGGGTTGAGGTGAACCTTGCCGAGGCAGACACGGGCCAAGGCTAGTGATACTCCGAAGGCAAAAGAAACACGCAGCGGGTCGGTCGAGCATGCCGGATCAGAGTCCAGCGTCGGAAGGGGTTCGTCTGTAATGGAGTCCCAGGACAGAGACCCTGCATGCGGCCACAGCACGACAGAAGAGAGGCTGATGAAGAGGAAAAAAACGGTCCCCAAAAACTCACAGAACATGTCACGTAAAAACAAGCCAGTCCATACATCCCTCAGGATCAAACTGAACGTGGACATGGGTTTCATTGTGCTTACGTTGTACTGCTCCTTGTATAAGATCTCCAGTAGCAATTAATTTCGATTTTGCAGTTCTGATTCTAGATCTTAAAGAGACATCCGTATGATGAGATTTAACGAGTTACCTTGCTCAAATTCACACCCATGTCCGTCTTATATTTGCCATTCAGTACGGGAACCTGTGACGTCTACAGTTGTATCCCTCAGCTTTCACCCTGCCTTCTTTTGTCCACTGGCCTGATCTTTCCTGTACACTGTTATAGAAGAGGCTTTCATCAGGTGCAAAGTGATGAACCAGGAACTGCTTTCAGACTCTCTCTATATGCAAAAATGTCTCATTCCCAGACCCAATTGGATTTTCTTATTGAAAACCAGCGGTCCTCTCTCTGGGGATTCACCTGCCTGATGGGGCTAAGGTTGAGGGTCTGAATTGATTCAGTCCCTTTATCGAAAAAGCTCTCATGTATTCCTCTGAGGTTTTCGTGACTGAAATGGATTGAGATGTGTCAAGTATCCAACTTTTTACCCAGCAAGTGTTAAGACAAAGATCTACAATATTAGATAATTGTAGGCTTTAAAAATCAGAAAGGGGCCAATATTGTGGGGCCAATTTTGTCAATATTGTTTGCACTGAGCTGTTCTACCCCAAATACAAACAAAACTAATTTTAAATCATAAAACTAAAGTATTAAAGTAATACTCATTGGGATGTGTTCCATGGCTATACCTGCTCACATGCTTTCAGCGGCAAGCACTCTCAAAGTGACTGAGAAGAAAGAGTGGAAACGAAAACTCTTGCGATAACATGGCTGACCACAACAATAGCTGCACAGTTTTAGACTGAGCTTCTATGACATTCTATAGAGGTCACTATGAATGTAGGATCAGGATTGATATGAATGAAACATGATTAGGAACTATAAGGTTACCTATTTAGGGGAAAACAGCTAGCTCTTCTGTATATGACGAGGCTTTTGACAGAAGGACACTTGGAGGACTCGATGTATGGAGAGAGGGAGCAGCTCATTGCCTTCCTTTGTGAAAATGGCTAGTCCGTATAATGCATTTGTTTTAAATCAATGTGTCATTAACTAATATATAGTGTAATCATGCGTTGACCAATAGAGACGAGAGAACCAACACAAAACTGCTCTCTCAGAATGTGTCTCAGCAAACAATAAACACAGGCTAAGTAACTGAGGGAGCAACTAAACAGTCCTCCCTTCAATGATAACAAACACACACACACACACACACAAAAAAAAAACACACGAAAGTTGTTGATGCAAATTTTGGTATACTGTTTTTTTTATTGTATATAGTAGGGAAGTATTCCATTTTGGACGCAGAGACTGTTTCAGATTTATGGGGGAAATATGAAACAGAATAGCTGAATTTTAACCACAATAGGGTAGTTGTGTACACAAACATGTGGACACATCATTTTGTTAAAAAAACTAAATTGCAAATGAGTATCAAAATTTTATTAGCAACGTTTTGCATCCGGTATATCCTTTTTCCCCAGAGTTCCTTGTTTTTTTTGTAGATTTTTTGATCTACTTATATGGTCTTTTCCCCCACGCACCTATCACCTGCAGGTGTGCGACGGTGTTTGCTAATTGTTAAAAACTAAATAAAAGTGAATTTTGTACAATAGGAAATATCTGACATTGACCAGAGTGATAAGGTACACAAGTGAGACCAATGACTCAAACTATTTTTAGCTGATATCCAAGAGAAAAAGGTCTTTCGGTCGAAGCGGTATTAAGATTCCAGTTCAATATTCTCGTCTCAGTAGGTTGATGGCGTCTTATCTCACAACCTCAGTCTGCGGTTTTAGCCAGCTCTCAGATTTATGTTCATTTTGTTCAGTCTTTCCCCTGGACAGGGTTGGGTTTATATTCATTGTCCATCCTCAACCTGCGACCACCTGTAAATCGTTTCTGAGCTTCTGCAGAGCCTCAGAACCATGCAGGTATAAATCTAATCAGGCCACCCCTCCTGCATTTGAAGATTTCATTTGTTCACCCCACCAGCACAAGAGTTTTGTTGTTCTAAGAAGTCCAGAAGAGTATCATTTTGGATTGGATTCCACTGGAGGAATTTTGGAATTTTTTCAGGCCTCAGGGGTTTCACATCAGTTTCTGTTCTTTTAGTGGAATTTATCTGGGAGCTGAAGTCTAAGCATTGCACTTTTCCCCTGACTTGCATATCATGTCAAGTGCTGCTGTTCAATTCACAACAAAGAGCTAATCATTTATATATATATATATATATATATATATATATATGTATAATAAAAAAGTGTTCTCACTGTGAATCACAGTGCTAAAGCCCCATAACATGTGTGAATATAGCAGGATAATTAGGTCCATGAAAGTTTCTAGGCAAATTTGTCCATTAGTATAAATATCTCTAGCCAAGGCTGCTTCAAACGTCATCGGATATAATTTCCTGCAACTCCAGCCGTCTGTATTTATTATTAATGACAAATCTAATAAGACTAAAACAGTCAAATTTTTGATGAGGTGAAAAGGTTTCTGAAGTTATGTCATTTCAGCCCTAAAGGAGATCATTTCAGCGAGTCCATTTAGCACGAGTTTTCTGACTCATTACTCATTTTTAATAAATGGGGGTCAGTGGACAACCAGTTCCTATTTCATTTTAGACCGGTGACAGTGAAAAGGTGGCAGGATGTTAGTGGGGAACCTGTTTGATAACAGTCATTATTGTTTGGCATGGTTATAACACATTTTGCCTTTATTATTTGAGCTAAACATACATGAATAGTTTAAATATATCCACTAAAATTTACAAAAAAAAAAATGCAATACAGACCATAGACCTGTCCTTCAATCAAGTGTTTCATTCATCATCTGTGCATTGAAGACTTCACAGAGGTCAGTTAACGCTGGGTAAAGCACCTCCCCGCACACACCTCTAACTTCACATAATCGAAGGTGATGACACATCCATTTTCACGCCCGACTTCCAGCCTGCTTCTCACCGACGAGAGTGAAGCAGTGTGTCATGATCATCCAGCTGATAGCTGTGGTCTGTTGACTGTTAGCTGACCTTGAGTCATTGTAATACTCAGTGGAATCCAAACTTCAAACTAGGGCTGTAGTATATATTATGTAGCAGTCATGATTTTGGACTTTTGGACATGAAAATTTTGCTGTTATTACTGTGTTTTTGGTATACATTTTTGGTATATATTTTTTTACATCATATATATATATATATATATATACATATATAAGATGTATATTAGTTATATTAGCTCTTCCAAAGGCACTGCTATTGAAACGTGCCATTTGTCCTTGATAGCCACAGATGCAGAACTTTGCTAGAGTGTAGATATTTATTCAATAATAAAATGATAGCCAGTGAAGTAGGACAAGGACACCCAGAAATATTACCTTTCATTAGTTATAAAAGACAAAAGAAGTAAAGTTATGGATTTTGAAAGATTTACTGCAAAAGTCAGATATTAAACACCAAAAGCATTCTTCATTTTAAGCATCATCCTCTTTTAAACCATGTTCAACATGCCCCACTGCTTTATTAACATTCTCTCACTAGATGGCAACATTACCATGTAACACTTAACACTACAGCAATTAGACAGTAGTTCCAAATCCCCAATTTACCCAGTAATACTAGCATGTCAGATGGGTGTAAAGATGTATGAAATATATTTTAGTGATATAATTCATGAATTGCATGAACATGATATTAATGGCAAGGTAGAGGAGTAATGTGTGCACGCCACTGTGCGACACTTGTCTATTATTTTACGCACCCCCATTTATCTGTTTATCTGGTTGTGAACGATATTGCAGAGGTTTAGAGTGCTCCTTGTCCGCCAGCACATTTGAAAGAGCATATTTCCATGTGGCAGGGAAGCTGATATTTTAAATACCATGGAAACATTTGTGTCATTTTGTGTTGAGCCTAATGAAAATCAGTGTGACACTAATCTGATAAACCAGGGGGATACAAAATATTTGCTAGCGGTCTTATCAGGGTTCATTACATGATAACTCATTTATATATTTCTTTGTACCTTACAAGAAAGGCAGTGCAAGAAAGTAAACAAAAAGACAAAGATCCCTATCTTGCACCCGGCGCAAATGACTTTGTACACTATGTATAATTCATATTTTGCACTGCGCAAAGCAGCTTTTTCCTCCACAGACGCACGTCGGTAAACTAGGAAATGAATTTGCACTACCTGGACGGGTCGGCGCAAAAAGGAAAAAAAAAAAAACAGTCTTAAAGTCAGTGGCGCGTTGCGCACTGTTCATAATGCTATTTTAAGCGTACAAGAGTACAAGCGTGCTATTTTTAGCCAGTGCACAATGCGCATACACTTTCTCTTATCAACACAGATGCAGCAGTTTTTATTTTTTGCAAATCATACATTATAACAAGGAAAAATATTAACAGATGAGGGAAATCATTTTGGTATCCACGAAGATGTAAAAAAAAATGCAGGCCTCAATCTAGCTTACACATTTACCCAAATGTTTCAGGCTAATTGTTGTAATGATGGATCAGACCTGTTTGCCCAATAGTGGCAAGACACATAATGTATATAAGGACATCTGACAAATTAGTTTGTCCGTCAAGAACCAGGAAAAAAAATCTCAATCGGTCTCTTTGGCTGTGAATGATCCTTGCGCACGCCTGGTAAATCCGCCATAATAATAACAATCCACAATGCAACATGTGCACCTGCTCTTAAAGGGTATGTTGGATGACATTCTGATTGGTTTATGTCATGTTACCCCCAAACTACACCTTTGAATAATGAAGCTATTTCAGACCAACCCATTTTAAACTTGCGTAATGGCAAGAGCCATTTATCCTGCCAGTAAAATAGCAACAGCGCCCAAGACCCGTCCAAAAACTTACTTGCGCTTCGCGCTTGATACTTGCGTTTCAGATCGTTAATATAGGGCCCAAAAGGAGTTTGGTCAGACAATGTGAGATATTCTATTGGTTTCATACAACAGATTCACTGCACTGGCAAATAACAATCAAGTTCTGTCCATTTGTTGTTCGATAACCCCTGATGTTTACTGCAAAACTGCTTGAAAGAACCGAGATCTGAGAGTACAGCTCTGCTCTCAGAAACCTGTAACCCATTCCAAAACCATTTAACACTTTTGACCATAAGCTAAAAGGCTTCAAATGTCAAACTTTTAAAACATCAAACAAGCAAAAAAAATAAATAAAAATAAATAAATAAATAGTTCCACCAAAACAACCCTGCAATAGAATAGGCCGTGGCATTTAAACAATGTCCAATTGGCACTAAGGGGCCTAAAGTGTGCCAAGAAAACATCCCCCACCCCATTACACCACCACCAGCAGCCTGCACAGTGGTAACAAGGCATGATGGATCCATGTTCTCATTCTGTTTACAACATAAATGTCTCAACATAAATTGAGACTCAACATTTTTCCAGTCTTCAACT